CTGTATTCAGGACTGACCTTTTTATAGGGTCTGTTAAACTGTAGAGTGTGTCTTTGTGTGTGTGTTCCTGGTCTTATCTGAAAGCCTCCAGTCCCACTCCATCAATATTTGATACAAAATGTCTCCTGTCCTTCCTCTAGAGTGTGCTTGTTATAGCGTGAGTTCAGAAGAAGGCAAATGGAGTAACATGCAATAAATATAGTTACAGTGCAGGTACAGTACACCTTACAATGTGTACCTTATAATGTGTTTTTTGCTTTGCATCTCAGGACTTGAGTTGTTTGTGTACGTGCTAGTTTTGTCTTGAGAAATTGTTAAATATTTAGTTAAAATGAGACAATAAAGCCATTAATGGCCAGGAACAAAGGCAGAGAGACAAATATAGAAACAGAGATAAATATGAGGTGGAAAACAAGCCCAATCTCAATGAACACATTACAGAGAGATAAGTTATGAGCAGAGGCGACACACCAGAGAGATAAAAACAGAGACAGGGCAGAGAGACAGAAAGGGCTGTAGGAAAAAACTGAAAAGAGGGCGTCATATTCACAGAGATACATGCAGACAACTGAGAGGGGGAGATAAAAACAGAGGGAGGCAGACAGAGGGGGAGAAAATGAGGATGACGCAGACAGGGAGGGTGAGACAGAAAGCTAATGGGGAGCTTTAGAAGGTAATGGACTGCGGATCCCCTGTGGACGGATGGGAGTCCCATTCACCCTGTGTACTTTAGGCATTGTCTGCCCCATTGTATATTCAATATCCAGATGCTCTCCAGCCCTCAGGCTTTCACACAAGAGCACTCTGCAGCTCACACAGCCAGGCAGGGGAGGGCTGCAGTTTAGTTTCCTCTCTGAAAGGAATCATCTGGAATATTACAATGAATGGAAACGTCACACCAGTTGAGTTCCAGGGAAGAACAGGGCATGTTAGGTTACGTCAAAAAAGATGGTTTGGATCTTTTGAATTTGATTTGTTTGAGGTCCTTATCCACAATCGAAGCGGTTGACCAATCACAACAGAGCCAGCCAGCCAACCAATCAGAGCAGTCTGGGCTCTGGTTTCAGACAGAGGGTGAAAATAGGTGCTGTTTGAACATTAAAGCATGGAGACATGTCCCAGTAGAGACACTACGTCAGGGGTGTCAAACTCAATCTCATCGCGGGCCACATTAGCATTATGGTTGCACTCAAAGGGCCGGTTGTAACTATATAAATATACATATATAAATATATAATATATATATATATATATATATTATATATATAAAATAATGTATTATATTACATTATTGGCTCTGAATTGGATTATTATCGGATAAGATAATAACAGGGCAACCTGCTTCTGTAAAGTGGCATGTAACCGTATAATAAACGTATTATATTCTTTGCAAGCTCTTGCGGGGCCACATNGAGAAGAGGGCAGGGGATACATCCAAAGTTTTTTGTTTGACATTAAAAGTAACAAAAAAGTAATTGCTGTGCACTTTTTTAGAATGGTGTGATTTGATATATGTTTTATGTTGTTTGTTTTACTGTATTTATGTTTTATAAGGTTTTAGTTAATGTCCTTCTCTGTATTCAATTGTGTTCTGTTTATTTGAAAGGTGCGATGTGAATTAAGTTTTTATTCACTTGTATTATTATTATTTTACTGGCCAGCCATCACTGCACTCTTGGCTCATTATCATCGGATACTCCCTTCTTTTCTTTTTTTTACAAAACAGGTTGTTGGTGCATTCCACATGTGTGTATTTTGAGTGAAGTGTGAAGGTACGCCACGACAAACAAGTAAATATAGATGGTAAGTGTTACGCCCAGGCCTAGGGGAACCTAGGCGCAGCACAAAGCTGCACTCTCCCCACTTTTCCCACTCCCAAGAACATGGACGCCAAGGCAGAGAAAAACGTTTGGTAATTTAATTACCAAATCAGAATCACAAAAACATGCTGAAAGTCTGTTTACAAAAATAACAAACAGGACTAACAAAACCACGAAACAAACTAACTTTTAACACAAAAATCCTACCTAACAAATGAGAAAAATAAACGTACAGGAGAAAACGAATTAACCAAAGAAAAGGGTTTTGCACTGGTTGTTGGTGCATTCCACATGTGTGAATGTTGAGTGAAGTGTGAAGGTACACCACGACAAACAAATAAATATAGATGGTAAGTGACGTGTTAATGGAGGAAGAACAACAGCAATAAAAGAGAGCAACAGCTCTATTGTGCCTTTTATTTTGTGGTGGTTTTTAATGATAAAATGATAGCTCGACAAAATCAGCCACCTCCTGCCCCAAAGCGGTACAGAGTATTCTTCAACCATCAGAATATTACAAACTGCTGTAACACCAATTGTCAATTTAGACAGTTTTTCTCATACACCTCCCCAACTAACAACAATGTCTTCTTCTCAACCATCAACCTGTTTCTAAGACAAATCTGTCTTTGTTGTACAGTAGGCTATGATTTAAAGTCCTCTTCTTAAAAATACCATACCTTGATACAGAGGTTTTGACACAAACGTTCACTTTGCTTCTCAAGGGTCAAAGTCACTGAGACAGGTTTTCTATCATACCAGAAAAAAATCATGGGAATTTCGTTTTTTCAAATCATTACATTTTGGACGGACATGGATGCAAACTAAAACTTGTGTTGTTGGCTAAGGCATACAAGCACAGTTACACCTCATGATAAACAACACCCAATTTCAACTATCACTCTGTCAGCATCTTCGCTCAGTTTTATATCACACACCCTTCTTTTCTTTTGCGTGTTTAGTTTTTAAAAAGTTTGTGGTGCATTCCAACAATGGGAAGGTTGAAGGAAGTTGTACTAATGGTAGGTTATGACGAACACATATGGATTGATAGTGACGTGTTGAAGGAGCAGTAAGAAATGAAAGATAAAAAAACAACTTGAAATATTCTTAAGTATCAATTCATAAATTCAGCATGATCCAGAATGATGTAATATTTAATAAATGATGAATGGATATTTATTTGTTTTCACCTAAGTGTCAGTAGAATGTTTAGATTTGTCATGCAATTTAGTTTGATAACGTTGACCACACCTACTTTAATATCGGTTTTATTATATTTAAAAGTTCAGAAACTATAATGGAAAACCTGTAAGGAGAATTTTGAACAATTGTGTAATGTCATCAAGGCTGAGAGTTTATCAGCAAGAAACACATTTTTAAATTATATTTTTAATTTATCATTGTTTCCATTCATTTCCATCTGACGCTGTTAATTGGGAAGCGTCATAATTAATGTGAGTTACGTGGGCCTAATTTACATTTTCCCTGAAACTTTAAGCCTAAAAATATATGTAAAATATATACAGACATCTTAGTCATAATGTGTATTATTAATACATTAATTCACAATCAATATGAATGAATGAAGGACATGAAAGCCTTTTGTATTTTTTTAATTAAAAACAGGAAACCATCTTTAACTAGAGAATGCAAATCCTGAAAAGATTGCTAGTGGGAATGCTGAAAAGCTAACGCTGAATTGCTATGCTGAAATGTAATGTGTAAGAAGAAAGTGAAGAATTTAGATTGAAATTATACATGAACACTGGGGGCTTGAATGTGTGATGAGAGAAGAAAAGAAGGTAAAAAGGCTTGGAAAAGCAGCAGAATATTTGGCTGAGTAGGCCTACCGGCATTTTACTGAGTACCGACACCTAGCCGGTACCGGCGGCATCTCATGACGCATCTCTGTCGCCATGGCAATGGCATTTGATGACACCCCATAATGTGCTTAGATGTGTTGATGGCTGCATCATTACCAAACCTGTGAAGTTTTGGGCCATTTCGAGCATTTTATGTTATGAAAAAACCGTGTTTCATGGTGAGCATTGTGTTGCCATGGCAACGGCATTTGAAAAAATCTTAAAACTGTCAAATAGATGTCTTCACGGCTGGACTCTTAGTACACATGTGAAGTTTGAGCACTTTTTGACAATTTTCATAGGAGTTATAGCAATATCGTGTTTTACGTCGAGGGATGCGTTGCCATGGCAACAGCTTTTGAGGAAAACTCACTAATGGCACAGACATGTTGAAGGCTGGACCATTAACCATTATCTGAAGTCTGCTGCTCTGAGCATGTCAGTTGGAGTTATGACATCATCGTGTTCCATGACACAGGTGTTTATATTGACTTCAATGTTAAACATTTGATGAATTATGGGATGTCTCTCTGGAATTATGAAAGTTATGAATGAGAAAAGTAATAGCCATCAATTCCCGACCGAGCCGAACGTTTTGATGTTTGAACGGAGTTTCTGCGATGTGGAATGTGGGAGAAGAAGAGGTGCAAAATAACCCGGCGGAATAATAAAGAATTTTGTGCGTAGCATAACAGATATTTGGAATGCTGTGTCAGCATTCCCACTAAACAAATGTTTTCCAGAGATGAAGTCTCTAATAGTTGGAGCATTCTGGAGAATAAATATGACAGCTATTGCTTTGTCAGTGTAGCATAGCATTCACACAACATTCCTAAAGGCACACAACCTCAGAGGAAATGTGCAATAAGTCTCAAAACATCTCAAAAGTTAGACAAAAGAGCAAACTTCATTGTTGTCGCTGCTTTCAAAAACACATAAATAGATTGTAGATAAGATTCATCTGTAAAAAATGTTGCCCCACTGTTGCTAATCCAAAATAGTTACGCTTTATCTAAAATGCAGCATAAATCAAAACATCAAAGAAATGCTTTATCCTTGATGTAATCTGCACTAGTCTTAATCATTTTAGGAGCGCTTCTACAGGAAACACCTGGGTGAGCAGGAAGTTCTTAGACATATCAGTAACCTCACAATCTCAAGGTGAAATAGGACATGGAAGAAATAATTAAATTAACTAAATTCAGCACTTGGCTGGAACTTAGTACCTGATGGAGATCCACAGCCATTTAAGACATTTATAAAGCCTTGGCCAGATAAACAGAAGGAGACAGAGCACAGACACTGAAGAGGTGATAGTTTTATGAGACTGGACTCACCTGGAGTTCACACCATGCCACTTCCACAGTAGTCTCTGTATCCAGTCCCTTGTACACAGTCTTAAAGGACCCTCTTCCAATCTCAATGTCAAATTTCAAAAAGCGCCCGTCTGTAGAAGTGCCCACAGCTTTTGTCTCCACCTCCTCTATATCCTCCTGCACTCGTTTCTCTGCCTCCCTCTGCTCCGCCCGTGCTTTGGCCAGCCCCCTCTCCTCCTCCGTCTCCTTGTCTTTCTCCTCTGTCGGACTGCTAACACTCCCCCCGTCCAAATGTTCTATTGCTTTTCCATCTTTTGTTACCTTTTGTGCCTCCTCGCATCCTCTGGGCCTCAATGTGACGTCAGGCTGTTTGTCGGCAGTTTTTTCGGTAACATCCAATAATGCCGGGCTGGGCTCTTTCACGGCCCCTTCTGCACTACGTTCTTTTTCAATACTACTCGTGGGAACAGCAACTTTAATCCCGCCTTTACTTAAATCTTCCTCTGCAGTTTCTATGTGCCCCTCCGCAGCTGCCCCCCCAGTCCCCAGGCCGGGATGCAGGATGGAGCTTTGCACACCTCTCGGGAGCTCATCTCCTTCAGCGTCTCGCAGCCCATGTCCAGGGGCTTGGGGAAGCAAGAAGGTGGGAGGACCTTGGCAGTCTGGGGGTGAGGTGAGTATCACAGCTGCTTTGCTGGGCAGGTCCAAAGCTGTGACATTGGAGTCACAGATGACACTCCGGCGGAAGAAGCGGTGCTCGGCTATTTTGGAGTCTCTATCCATGGTGTGGCGCCGCCGCTGGACCTCAGGGTGGACACTGAGCTTTTCCACCACGTCCGTGTCTGAACTGGCGGAGCCATTCACATTCTTATTGGGGGTCTGGGGTGATGGAGAGGGAGAGGCTGAGGGAGGAGGGGAGGCCGGGGCAATGAATATTACCGCTTTACTGCTGCTACTGCTGCTTTCAGACATTCCTCCCCAGGCTAAGACCACAAAAAAGAAGAATTCTGTACTTATAAATAAAACCTATGTACACCGTGTGTATGCAGGCACAAATCTCTGCTAGCAAGCTTCTTTTGTGAAATGAAAAGCTCTCCAACCTCAAATAACACCGCAGGAAAAAAGAAAAAGGGATGGGTAAATCTGCTTCCTCTTTGTAATGTCAACTGTTTCAACAAAACAACCTACAGTTCCAACAAGGCCCTCCTGTACAGGGCTCCGGGAAGCCCCAAGAGAGAGGCAGGGGCTTTCGCTTAGAGATTGGGGAGGGAAAAGTCAAAAGCCAGTCAAAGGAGGGGGGGTGCAAGCACTGCAATGAGGTGACAACCGTCAAATTAACACGCGAATCCATCCTGTTTCCAACATCCAGAGAGGGACATCCACGACATGGAAGGACTGGAGATAGAACAGACCACTATGGCCTCAGAGGACTGATAAAACAAAAGATGGTTGGAATCCAATCTGTTACAGCTGAAGGGTCTGTCAGAACAGGCTGAAGCTCCCACAGATCGTTGAGGATGGGAGTGTAGAGGTCGCTGGCCCGTCTGGTGAGGCCAGACAGAAGGCTAGGTAGGCCTAGCCTGGCCCAGCCTGGCCCAGCTTGATCTGCTTCGGCCCTTGTCACTGAAAATAAAAAGAGAGAAGTGAGTGAGCTGTAAGATGAAACTATATTTTCTTTATATATCTGACCATACATTACAAAGGGCAACATCTGCTTCCACTTGACTAATTGGCCGGCCCAAAAATCTTTGAAAGGACTTCTAAATGATACTTGGTTTCCCTCCGAATTGGCTGGTAGAATATAAAAGCTGCCAGTTACTGTGACATTTGATCACCAATTGGCCAGAGATCAGCAGTATGAGCGACTGGGGAGGCAGGGTGGGAAATGAACATCAGCCAAATTGACAAATTGACAGTTTATCCAAACACTAAATCAGATATGTCACCCATATTCGGATGTTCTTTACATTTGGATGGCAAAGTAGCAATACTGGATGAGTCAAGAAAGAACTCTTGTTTGCAGATTCATTATGAAAATGTGACTTGGGTTGAGGAATCGTTATCACCATCTAACGAGATCTACATCCCACCAACCTTTCCCTCCACAGTGCCCCTGTGAAGTTAATTCAGTGGAGTGATGCAGCAGAGTGTGCGCCTAATTGCTCCACGCTCCAAATTTAGCCCAAAGTCACCACCACTGGGCTGACCTCAAGGTTACTCGGTGGCAATTCAGCAGCTAAGCATGAGAGGGGAGGGGGCATCAAGAGTGACAGAGGTAGCATTACTAAACAGAACCTGGATGCATGTCTGAGGACAGTGCACAAGTATATTACTCTGCAGATTGCATTACAGAAAACTGAGTAAATGGTAAGAAACAGGTTAACTGAATTCGCCTTACATAACATCCTAAAGATAACTCTTTTATCAGAGTGGCACTGAGGAACAGCAGCTGCTTGGATGATGGAGACATTATTGAATGTGTATTAATTCCTGTCTAAAAAACATTTATTACATGTAAATGTATTATCGACACAAATAAATATGCACAATAATAGTGACATTCAGTTACGTATAATTAAATCTGTCTATTATGGGGTTTTAAACTGAACCGAGCAACTTTGCACAGACTATATGCGTGTCTTTAAACTGCAAAAAAAAGCCTTTAAACATAAATACAAATACATGGCGTATCACCACCTTATAGCAAAGTAAGGTCTGCACGACAGCCCAAATATAATCATGTTAATGGGTGAAATGTGCAGCACATACAAAATGACAGATACCATTGTTTTAAGGAGGCTTTTAAATTGCACAGGTTTAAATGAGCCCTGGTTTCCTATTTGAGAAAATTCACGGCACCAGGGATGTATTTGGCCCCACAGGCTACTCAATTGCCTCAATTAGGGGAATTGGCTGAAGGATTAGCACTCAAGAGGTCACAGTAGGTATGTGCCTTAAGGCTTGTTTCTGCCTGTTTTAAATAAGAATGTCTAATGTCTGGCATTATACATGCCGTTTAGTTGTTTATTTAATGACCCATGCTGTAGGTGTTAAGAGAAGTCATGTATTCAACCCGTTAGTACTGCTGGAAAAACATCTGCCTTGTTCTTGTTTTGATCACATGGCTCTTATTTCGAAGATGTTTTTACAGTGATTTCACAACAGCTAGGGGGTGTTGTTAGGTCTTCTTCTTTACTGAGTACAGACATAGGGCTGCCAGAAAACAGAACAGAGATGGTACATTTTACACAGCAACAGAAGATGATACTAATTTTAAAGTTGTGTAATAAAAAATTAAATTGAGGTAAATAATGAAAATGTTCGCGTGACAGGTAATGTACTGTATAGCCTTTAGTTAACACAGGTGTGTTGCTTCTACCAATCAGAGTAGTCCTTGAAAGTACGTTTTTTGTGAAAATTAATATGTATAGAAAAAATATATAAATATGAATTTAAATTACTTGTATAATGGGTCATCATATTGGCCTTGCATAATAACAAACTTTTACTGAATTGTATTTGTACTGATTCGTCTATTAACAAGCTCTCTGCAACATTATAATGCACATATAAACATTCAAATATGGCCCATAATGGTGGTAGAACATTGTCAATTCCCTTTCAGATAGGAGTAGATGGCTAGCATTTAAAAGCAATGAAATCAATAAAATATCATGGATTTGTTAAGCATCATAGGTCCATGCCAACAAGTCGTCTATTCGTTATGTTGGGCTAATTAAAACGTAATGAAAGAAAGCTGTTCATCCTGTTATAGTGAGCACAGGAGCAATTAAAAGTCCCGGGCAAAGCCATGAGGGTCGTTACGGAACTGATTTTTAATAAAGGCTCAATTATGACAGAATATCTCTCAAAGTTGTGTGAGAAGAAAAAGTGGTTTAAATAATGTCTGCAAGTTACTAACTGTACTAACTGAAAGAGCTCGAGCCAATGGAGCGCGAGCTGTGCAGGAGACCGAGCCGCAGACCGGGCTTCACTGCTGCCTGCGAGAGACTACAGAAACTAGGCTCTGCAGCTAAAAACACACAGGCAACAGCCAGTCACGATGTTTATAAACCATAATAATAAAACTGAAAATGTCCCTTTACCTATTCCATTGGTGAGGTCTGTCCGGGAACCAGAGAAATATGAAGGTGAAAACTTGATTTAAAGCCTGGAACTCCTCTGAAGGGGGGTCCGCTCCGACACAGCACTAATGTCAGTATAGTGCGTCACATTAAAGCCACAGTTGGTTGTCAAAAAAGCCAAAAAATAAGCTATTTACAAAAACATAACTTAGTTACAACCGTGTCCTTCTAAAGAAAGGTCCGAACAGCGTGGCGAGAAGCGGTTTGTGCAGCGAGCCGTAGCCGACAGACAGACACCTCCCACCGGGAAGAGAAGCCAAGTTCGCTCGGTGGTGTCGCGGCGGCTCTGGTACTTATTTCTGTCTGTGTTGTCTCTGTCCGGGTATGCAACCGCGACCGAAAGGCAACTCAAAGATGCTAAATTCTCATCCGTATCAACATAGTCCGCTCCTGCGACGCCGTTTCGCACCTCTAGGCTCGTGTGGCGCAATAAATCCACTGTGGTCCACAGTTATTCCCCGGTTTCAAGCCATGGGACGGCTGCTCCGCTGCTCTCTGCTCTTCTCTGGCGATGACTCGACAAGGCGACCGTACAGCTTTCACGCAGACGTGCTGCGTCAACCAGCCACCATTAACCAGGATGATACAGGAAGAGAGAGGGTTCTTCCAAAGTAAAACAACCATTCTATTTACAGCAGTGGAAGAAGTACTCAGATGTTGTACAAGTAAAAACAAGTTGTAAAAGTAGAAGTACCAGAGTGTAGGAATACTCTGTTTCAAGTAAAAGTCCTGCATTTAAAATGTTACTCAAGTAAAAGTACAAAAGTATTAGCATCCAAATATACTTAAAGTACCAAAAGTAAAAGTAGTCATTTTTAATTATTGATCTCTAAAGTGTTATCAAAGCTGGTAAAGGTGCAGCTAGTTTGAATGACTTTGTATACTGCAGGGTAGCTTGTGAATTTACTCCAGGTGGAACTAAAGTCTGATTTAACACTTGATTATATTTCACATCATTAATCCAAATCTGTAAAGTAACTAAATGTAACAAATAAATGTAGTGGAGTAAAAGTACACGATTTACCTCTGAATTGTAGTGGAGTAGAAATACAAAGTAGCCTAGCATAAAAGTTGAAATGTTCTCAAGTAAAGTACAAGTATCTAAATTGTACTTAAGTACAGTACTTGAGTAAATGTACTTAGTAAAGTTACACCATTGACCAAAACAAAGCTGTGTGCAGTGGTGGAAGAAGTACTCAGATCCTTTACTTAAGTAAAAGTAGAAATTCCACGTTGTTAAAATACTCCAAGTAAAAGTCCTGCATTCAAGTGTTGTTTAGTTAACGTAAAGAAGTATTTGAATCCAAATATAGAGGTAGGTCTACAGTTAATTTAAAATACTTTATATACTGCTCCTGGATATCTTTACCTATAATTATATGTTTATATGTTGGTTTATTAGTTGGTTTAAATTGTATATTAGTTTCTAATATCCTGAATAATTCTACTTCTGTAAATCTGTAAAGTAAAAAGCTGTCAGATAAATGTAGTGGAGTAAAATGTACAATATTGGCTTCAAACATGAAGTGNGTCAATAATATGAACAATAAATATAACTAGAGAATGCAATTCCTGAAGAAATTGCTAGTGGGAATCATAGCAATTCAGCGTTAGCTTTTCAGCATAAAGCATTCCCACTAGCAATTTCTTCAGGAATTGCATTCTCTAGTTATATTTATTGTTCATATTATTGACATGTACCTGTAGCAGGTCCTTTGGCCAAATGTGTATTTGTTTAATGTTGAAACCCAGTGGTGAGATGCAGAAAGTTGGCCAAAGTCTTTGGTTATTCTGCTTTTGCATGAGTGACAGAAACCATGACTAACTAAGTTGATTTTTTTGAGTATGTGAACGGATGCCGTGGTGCACCTGATAACGGCTACCACAAATTGCATAAATGAATGGATGATAAAAAATTGAGGCCATATAAGCGTGGGTTTGATTTGAGGTGACAGCCTGTCAAATGTAGATTGAATTCAGCATTATCTTAAAGGTCAGAGAAGTTAGCATACGACTAGAGACTTCCTCGTCGAAAAGCCCAGACTGTCTGAGAGATTCAGGGTACTGAAAGTGAATCAGCAACACATCTTGCATCTTTCACCTACTTTGACTTCTTACACTACTATTCTCGCTGCTGTGGGGTAGTTTCAGTGTGGCTATAACCAGACTGGTTGCACTTCGCTGCTCCCTATCAGCTCTCAGTCTGTACAATACATACATCAAGATTAACGGAAAGACTGCATCTTGCACACCGTGTGAAACTTGAGACAGGATGGCACACCGTTCACCACAGGATGCTGTTGCTACATTACGGTGCACTGATGCAACTTCTGCAGCGAGTGTGTGAGAGACCGATCGAAAGTGTGACATGTAGAGGAGTTTGATGTGAGGTGGCGGGAAAAGTGAGACAGACAGAAAGTGGAAAAAAGTGTTTTTGCAGCTCGTCTTGTTGACAAGTTCTCACCGACAGAGGTGCATTCAGTAGTTGGAGATGTAGAACAAGAGTCTCAGCTAGTCATGTGACATTCAGGGCACTGACTGAGCCAAGTCTGCTTACCCTGATGTGACATCCTACTGCGTCACACAAACAAATGTAACTTTTTATCTATCTTTATAGGCTAATTTGTCTATTCATTATTTTTTGAAACGGCAGGTAGAAGGGATCAAATAATTAGCCACATGCTTGGGTAACCTAGGCTAGCTTTTGTGGTCTGCTTCATCTTTTCATCATACTGTAGTTAATTGAATCAGAACCAGAAAAGTCAAACGAGGTGAGACTTGTTTTCTGTGCAGATCTGCCCATGTTTGTGTTTCTCAGTGTGCGATTTTTTTCCTTGTGATGGAGTTGACTGTCAACTCCATCACAAGATGCTTCTCAAGTCCTCTTGAATCCCAGAAGCTAAAATCAGCTTCGCCAGATGCCCTGCGCTAAGGCAACGCTGGTTTGTTTAGCAAAAAAACAAACAGCTAGCCTCTGTAGCGCTTTCTCCCTCTGTCACCCTCACACATGCCTCTCTCTTTGACTCTCTTTGACTGTTGTTAGTCTAAAAGTGGAAACCTACTAGTGACTCTTGACAGCGTTGTGTCGAATTAATCAAATACAGTTCATTGATCATCATTGATTTTGATGGAGCTTTAAAAAATCAATTGCCTTATAACATTTCTTACACAGTATGTAGTTTACTGTGCTCTGGATTACTGGAAAGACCAGCTCCATTAAACAATATACTGTATACGGCACTTGTTATATAAAGGAGTTGAGGCCTGTGGTGTGCAGGCCATATGCATGCAGAGACAAGTACTTCTCTGCAGGGCATGGCTGTAATCCTGTGTGTGTCCGTGTCAAAGATGACTGAGCAACTGCTGACATGTGGCAGAATGGTGGGAGTAATGTTACTTACGCACACGTACGCACACAGACACACACATTACGACCAATCACATTCACACACTGGGTGGGCATGGGAACTGGAGATCTGTGGGATCGGGGATCATCTGGAACTGGTCGGTTTTCTATATGTGCGTATGTGTGTTTCTACGTATGTGTCTTTCCATCCCTTTGAGTCACTCTAATGTGTGCCTCAGAGATGGAAATGGATTCTTTGAGTCTTTACATTCTTTTGCATCTGTTCCAAAGCAGGTTCACTTCTGTTTCTGGGAGAATCTATAGATGGGCGGGACCAAAGGAGGAGGAAGGTCACTCAGCAGCTTATCTTTAAGGTGCCTTGTGGGGAAGAAAAGGCTCTTGGAATGAGGAGAAATGGAAGTAGAAATATTTAGGATCATTTAAAACTAACTTAAAACAGCTTTGTTGTTAATGATTTGTGAAAGCCCTCAATCAGCAGAGCAAACAGTGAATGACTGTCAGCAGGACTGCATGCGCTCGATTCGATGAAGATAAAGCTAGTACAGTTAGGGCAGTACAAGGATGTTCAAGAAGGGAGAATTAGGGCGGGAAAGGAGATCAATGAAGTTCTACTAAAGGGCAGGGATGGAGGGAGGAGGGGTAAAGGTCAAAGTGCAGCCCCCTTGTGTCCGAGGCGGTCAGGAGGAGCCTGTCCAGCTCTCACTTCTGATGGAGGGGGTGGAGTGAGACAGAGACGTAAACGGCAAAAGAGAGATTCAATGGAATTCATTTCTAAAAGTTTTTATTTTGAGAAGGAGAAGCAGGATGAAGGCAGAGGGAGTAGATCAGCCGAAGGACCTGTAGGAAGAGGGCGGTGATCATGGAGAGAGTTCAGTGAGAGAATAGAGAAATGGGAAACATCGGGAGTAGGGAGGAAGGAAAAAGTGGGAGGGAAAAGACAAAGGAAATGAAAAAAGGAGGAGGGGGAGGGAAAGGAGAAAGAAAACTGAGGGCCAAAAGAAGAGGGACCCCGAGTCTGTGTTTGTGTGTGACCCCAGGCTCTTAGCTCCACCGGCACTCAAAGGCCTTGAAATGTCTCTCAACAGCAACGCAAGGCGGATTAGCCCCTTCCTCACACACACAGATATAAGAGCTCACACACACACTTTTGGGGCTTTGAGGCTCTCATCCGACGGTCATTTAATCTGTGCCTTAGGAGGAAACTGGGCTCACATGGCTTCGCTGGCGAGTTCAAGTACTGCACAAAAGCCGAATTTGTCATTTGAATCATACGCACATTTTATTGTTTTCTATTACGATTTCCTTCTGCAGTGTGTTTGCATATTTCTAACTCATAAAGTCTCCTCACCTCTAACACGGCTAATAGAAATGGCTCACCATGTCCAATTTTAGCAATGCACCAATTTGTTTACAGTGATGACCCATTTTAACCCAGTACTGGCCTGACATCTGTCTGTGTGTTGGTTAGAGGCCAGAGGAGGGGAGGACACATCAGCTTTGAGGGAAGGAGAGCAGGAGGAAGGCAGAGTATATTAAGATGTTTGTGAGGCCAGCCACTTTAGAAACTGTTTTGTCCCACATGGCAAAACAATGGATTCTCTTTTTGCACTGTAGCTCTTATTAAAAATACAAATGATGACCTTAAAAACAACTACTATTCTGTGAGCATGAAACATTAAGCTTAAAAGTAGCATTCTGTATTTGACTGATGGATACATATCCCCATACCTCTTATAGCAGAGGTGCAGCAGTTAGACTTTCCAGAGGTTCAGATTTCCCTGACACAACATCACACTGCAGCTGTGTGGACTCTTCTGCAGAAACTGGTTCACCATGCTGATTGATCCTCAAGTTGCTATAAAGTAGCTGCCCCCCCCTGAACCTCTCACACACTGACAAAAGGAATGGAAACTTCCTTTTACAGTTCAAATGTTTCTTGTAAATGTTTTAAATACTGGCTAAAAATAAATTAACTCAGTTCCTTTCCCTTATTAGCAAGTAAGCTAGTGTGTGTGTGTGTGTGTGTGTGTGTGTGTGTGTGTGTGTGTGTGTGTGTGTGTGTGTGTGTGTGTGTGTGTGTGTGTGTGCGCCTGCCCGCCTGCCTGCCTGCCTGCCTGC